TTCCTGTTCAAAGGGAGTTTTTCCTCTCCACTGTCGCTACAAGCATGCTTAGTGTGAGGGATTGTATTTGAGTCAAAACTTTGTATCAATTTGACTGTATGATCTGGTTGAACTGTAAGGTGCCTTGAGATGACATGTGATGTGAATTTGGCGCTATATAGATAAACTGAATTGAATTGAATAAGTAAGAGTACCACTACTTTACTTATTTCTAGTGTTGCAAGGATGCCATTTTTTGGCCCCTATACCTGGCTGTGCAGGATTGGCCGATACCGATCTGTTTGAAATTTGTGTGTGTGTGTGTATATATGCAGAACTGCATACTACTTGGATGTAAAATAATTGCCATCATGGCTTTGTCAACCTGCTGCCCATCTTTTTGAAGCAGGACAAAGACTAATACAAAGTTAATCCAGTAGAACTTTAGTAGAATCTGAAAATAGTTGAATTAACTTGTGGCTCTCAAAAAGGTATCATTGCCCTATTTGTTGGTACTCAATACCAGCATTTTAGTGCTGGATCGGAGCCCTGTCCGATACTGGTATCGGTATCGGTGCAACACTTCTTATTCTTTTACTTAAGTAAAAATTCCAATGTAGCCATCCAAGAATAAATGAAGTAAAAGTCCACCTAATTTCTTAAATTAAATTCCCTACCATAGAAAGAAAAGCAACTTGAATCATTATTTGCTAAATAGTTGTCACCTAAAAAATAAAAGATTATTTGGATTAAAAGCTCAATGTACATTTATAATTCAGGAATATTAAAACTTTTTGATTTATTTCAAATAGAAACAATACGTTTTAATCAATTCAGAATTAGAACTTAAGTATAACTGATAAATTCAGCTATAACAAATAAAAGTTTTTTTTTTATGTGGTGCAAAATAACATTTGGAAGATAAAAACTGGGGATTATATCTCAATGTGACTGAAGCTATCACCTTAATTGCTAAATCATAATTGAAACAGAACTGTAAAAATAAATGAATAAAATGAAATGGGTCCAAGGTAAATATCAGCCACTAAGCCTTTTCCAGTGCATATCATCATTAAAATGTTTTTTTTTTTTATTATTATTATTATTTTTCCTTTTAAGTATTATATCTTATTATAGGGGCCATACCTTTAGCCTCGTGAGACCATCCTGATCTCCCGAACTTTCAAGATTTCACTCACAGATCAGTCTGGAGACTCTCCGTTGAAGAAAATTTTGAGCCGTTCACCAAACGAACGTCCAATCAGCGTTGGCTTTGAGGCCGGTTGAGGTGTGACGCAACAAGAAGCGTGACAGTTCAGTCTAAAGAACATGGCGGCTTCAGCCGATGAAACTAGCGTTAGCGTGGCTATCGAGCAAGTTTTATCGGAATTACAGAGTATTTCTTCACTGAAAGAAGAGCAAAACACTGCTCTGGAGGCTTTTCTCAGAGGAAAAGATGTTTTTGCTCTTTTCCTGACTGGTTTCGGCAAGAGTTTGATCTATCAATTGGCTCTTCTTCGTCGTTGCTCTGTTAGTACGTCATATGCTTCGTTGATCTGATTGGTTTATTTGGCCCGTCTATAACCAACATAGGCCAATCAGCTAACCAGTATTTTCGCCCCTTCCCAAAATTACTTCAACGGAGTCAGAATACCATACCTTAGCTATTTAGACCAAAGTTTATTTATGTGTTAAATTTGGCCCAGTCAAAACCTGGAGCTAATGAAATTAAGAGTCTGGGGCAAAATTAAATTCTTTATTTAATAGAGGTGCTACAGTTTGCCTAACTGGTTTTGAACTAATTGGCTGTTAAACTTGAAACAGTAGATTTTACTTTTAAGAAATTGTGGAAAACCAGTGCATCCTTTTCTGTTTTTATTCTATTTTTATTAATATACCGGTAGTGTCAATTCACAACACCTCACCTTAAGACACCTTATGGAGACAATTGGTTTAACTCATACAGTCAGACTGGTTAAAAGTTTTCTAATGAAAGAAGGCCGTCTGATCGCATCAAGTACTTAATTTTATTTTCACTTATTAATCATATACTAATTTCTGTAGTTACGTTGATTTTTTATGTCTATCGCATTTCATTTTCATTTCAATTTGTCGTTTATTGTCGGCATTCTTGTTATAAGTTCAAAATAATGTCTATTTCTGGGCATAGATCTCAAAAACACTCGGCTTGAAAGAAGAGTTTATGAAAGTGGATAAATTGTGAGCCAGAGGATGATGAATTAAAATAGGATTTCAGTATGGTCTACTGTGTGTTTGCGTGATGGTTCTGGCCTTGTGGTAGAGAACAGAGACAATTCAGAGTTGAGGGAAGCAATTTAGCTGCCAGTTACCAAAGCATGATGCTGGCCAGACTGAATGGAGCGCTGGATTGTTGCAGCTGTCAGCAGCGGTGTGATCTAGCTGGGATTCATGAGGGAGAGAACTATATGGCGCGCTGTATTGGGCCAAGCAGACATCCATCTAGGAAGACTCTATAGTAGAAGTGGGTTTGGAAAGAAACGAGTGCAGACTGAGCTGTGGAACATACCTTTCACATGGTGCAACTGCTGTTTCACGATAGGAATCTTCAAGCATAATATTTTACAGTATCAGAAGGAACAAGTCTTTAGACCTTTAGATAATTATATCAAAGGCACCAGATGGCTTCCCTTAGAGAGAGGTCACATAACGGCATTACCGTCATTCCTGTAGAAGTTGAGCCTCTAAAGTAAGAAGGGGCAGAAAAACAGTGAAGCAAGGTGGAAGAAGTGCGGCTGTCATCACCTTGTAGTTATCCCAGTTCCTGAAGAAGTTAACTGATCCATCTTTCCGACGCTGGATAACCGTCCACCCTCCGTTGTCGATATCCTGTTCACACCAGGCTTGCACCGTCCTCTCTGATTCATCTGGTTTGATGAGATACATGCCGCTGGTGCTGTGGCCAGCTTCCTGGGCCTCCTGGCAGTCTCTGAACGGGCCTGAAGATAAGACAGAGGGGAGCAGGGTGTGAAGGACACGGTCCAGCTGGAAAATGGGCAACAGGACAAACAATCTGACTTTGTGAGCTGCAAAGTCATCAGTCTTATGTGGTAACTTTGTAAATGTTTACATAAAGGCAAAGAGAAAGGACAAAGTGGAGAGGGAAGCATTCAAGCTTGAGGATTACTGCTACAGGTATACATATTAATTCGAATTTAGCATAAAATGGGATTGTTCTAGTGGAATTAGCATGGTTTCCTTTATGCTTTGACAAAATTACATCGAAAGGGAGGCTTGGAGATTCTATTATATAAAAAACCCAAAACATTCTCAATAAATTAATGTTATCTTCCTATCATTTTCCTACTTGCCTAACTTGGCTAAACTCTGGTCCCTGATGCAGTTTAATTGTAAGTATTTTTTTTCTCAATCACTACCTCTCCTTATAACCTCAAGCAATCCATGTTTTGGATTGTAAAGATATCAAATGGAGTGAGAATCATTCTTTTTCTCCATTTCTCACCCTGCCAGCATGCAAACCAAAACCTTTTTTCTTCCTACGCACTGTTTAGAATTGGTCATCATAAACAAAGTGAATCCTTACTGTCTAAAGATTAAATCAGAGTAAGCTTTACTTTTTAAGTCGGTTCGGATGGAGCTGACTTCTATTTTCTAAATGCTAGAATACTGACAGATTTCTAGTGTCAGAAGTTTGCTTGGGTTTTCTTTTAGTAGTAGAAGTTCATCTTAAACTGAATGAAATGGCTCAAATGTTTTAGGTATCCTTTGATAAATTTTCTATGACTAGATACCTGGAATTTTCGCCCATTCTTCCGGGCAGAAATGTTGTATCTAAGTCAGAGATGTTTGCAGCTCTACTCTAACATTTTATATTTATCTAAAATCTTTGTTTTTTGATGGAGACTTTGCAGTCTTTGTTTTTTCTTAAACCACTCTGTAATTAATACAGCATTATAATGAATGCCATTGTCTATTTGGTGGACCCAAATGGCTGAGCTTTACACTGCCTTCCTTACAGATGTCTTAATATTTTACTTTCATGTTTTTACAGAACTTTCTTTCCTCGCTGTAGCATGCATTCTGTGAAGTACATCAGACCATCCTGCTGAAAAAGCCCCTTTAAAATATGATGATGCCACCCCTGGACATAGTTGGATGTTCTCAGGCTTCCAGGTGTCCTTCATCCATCTTGTAATGCTTGTCTGTAATGGTTAGGGGTGCTGGTGCCTATGTCTCGCAGTCCATTGGAGAGAAACCAATATATACAACCACATGCACAAACACATTTACACCTATTCATGTTTTTGAACTGAGGGGGGAAGCTGGAGAGAATTTATGAATGCACTGAGAGAACATGCAAATTCCATGCAGAAAGGCTCCAGGCTGGGAATCAAATCCACGACATTCTTGCTGAAAGACAGACTGGAAGTTTCCCTAGAAATGTAGTAAGGTTTTTAATAGATGAACATATAAAATTTTGTTTATTCAGTTTTTAAGCTACTCTTTAAAAATTTGATTTTTTCTTCTGTAGGCTGCCTTTTAGCCCAGATAGGCATAGAATTTGTCTAAGTCTTGATGATGATTCTCTTACCAGCTTCAGCAAACTGCATCTTAATGACTTTTGCTTTTCTTCTGTGGATTCTTCCATTTCACATTTACCCTCTTTCTTTTTGCAAAATGAGCAAGAGAACATTTTGAATTGAATTCTACACATAATACTGTGCTGAATTCAATTGAAGTAAATGTATCAATCTGGCTTATGCCATGTTAACTGTAAGCTGGTTTAGGGCACAATTATTTCACTGCATCTAAAGTTACGACTTTGATGGAAGCAAAGAACAGGGACCTTTTTTGATTATTCTGATATTTCCCTTTTCAATACAATGTAAACCTTAAAAATTTACATAAAACAGTAAATATTTAGTCTGCTTTGACATCACATAGTAAAAGTGATGGTATTCTCTTACACTGTGTAGGAGTAAACATTTTATTTAAGCTGCAAATTTTACTTCAAGTACTGTATGGGGAAATGCATGAACTTGAAATGACCAATGTTTCTTAATGGCCATTGCTGTATAAGGTCCTGATTACTGTGCAGATAGGTTGAACATTTGGTGCTTCCTTATGTCTACTCTCTAAACTCAACTTCAGTCAAGATGCTCTAAATTGACTCAAGGTGTTGTCCAAACGTATGGCAGTAAAGTATTTTGCAAACAATGGTCAAAGGTCATCCTTTATTTTAAGGCAACCCAAAGATGACCTTTAGTGTTGGAAAGCAAATAAAGTTGGACAACTTGAAAAATGCTTTAGTCTTCAAAAATTCAAAAATTAAAGGCACACATCTTTCAGTAGTTTTTGTGATAATTCATTTAAAAACAACATTATTTCACTTATTTTTTAATAATAAAAAGTAATAAAATGTGACACTTACTAACCTCAGCCTCACATAATCCAGGGTAAAACTGGACCCTCTGGAGTATCTCAGTGTCTGACTGTGTGTGTGAATGAGCCACTCTGGATTGTACTGTAAAGCTATTTACATCTACAGTCAAAGACCTCCATTTACCATTTACATGTGCTTGCTGCAGATCTACAAAGCAGGACTTGACTTTTCCCCCACTTTAGGTCAAAAGACTACAAATAGATGGATTCATATAGCTGTGCGTACAGAGTTTCTTTAGGGGGTAAGAAGCTCCTCTGTAATTATTGATTGGTATTACCGTAAAGCTATAGTACACTGAAAAAAATTGGAGTACCATTTTACTTAGAAAAAGCTAGGTACAATTTTTGATATAGAACTTATTTGTACATTTAACTCAATAAAATCTGAGCTTGATTTTACTTTCTAAGAAGAGTTGATTGAACAAAGAAACTCAATTTCTCTTATCAAAAAAAGGATGTACTTTTGTTTTGCTAGTACATTTTGCATAAGGTGAAGCCAATTTAACTAACCGTCATGTTTTTGGACTGTGGGAGGAAGCCAGAGTACCCAGAAAATACCCACATATGCATGGAGAGAACATGCAAACTCCATGCAGAAACACCCTTAACTGGAGATCGAACACAGAACCCCATTGCTGCAAGGCAGCAGAGCTACAAACAGTGCCACCGTGCAGCCAACAAGAAATCAATATTTTCTATTTCTGACCTAAACAGGGTCAGACAAGGAAGAAAATCCCCAACACTACTCCTAATATCCAAGTGCATATTACCGGCGAGGACTGAAACAATTAATCTGATTAATCGTGATTATTTGAAATACTCATCAACTAAATTAGTAATCGATTAATCATTACCTGAAGTATAGAAACTTTAAAACATGCCTTTAGCTGTCAGAGCAATCCACTTAAAGCAGTAATTATGCCAAGATTGTAAAAAACTATATAAACATTTTGCATTTAAAGGTATAGAGGGCAATCTTTTATTTCCGGGTGGATCATCTAAATAAGTGGTCCTCCTAATTGTCAATCATTCAAGTGATATGTTTACATAAGGGCCCTCCTACTTGCTCCTCGGGTTAGCTACCTTCTTCTGCGCGTGCGCACTTCCAGGCATGTATGTGTGGTAAGCTACGGTTCCACACATTCATTGAAGCACACCTTTCTCACCGCGGTTCTTTGAAAATGGCCGAGGGTCGTAAG